GCAAGAACAAACATAGAAGTGTTGTCTGATTCACAAGCAGCAGCTAATTATGTTTAAAAGAATTGAAAATACCAAATGAGACGAATTTATAGCCCATTTTGAAAGTAAAACATACTCTAATAGGTAGCGTAATCTACACAGCAATAAGTGTAGTGTGTGGATGAGAGGGGGCGGTGTTTCGATGTGATCCGGTTATGTTGTGGTTCTGTGACTGCTGGTGTTGGTTGCTGTATGGTTAAAAAATATGACAGATAAAGTAACTAGGTTAATTTTGATATTAATAAATGAAAATAAAATATTAATGTAATATTTTGTGCGTTTGGGTGGGTTTTGGACAGCTTTTGCGCTGGAAAAAGTCAGCTGTATCTGGCAACACTGGACAGGAGTGGCACCAGGTGTGGTCTTCTGCTGCTGTTGCCCATCCGCCTCAAAGTTGGACGTGTTGTGTGTTTAGAGATGCTTTTCTGCATACCTTGGTTTGAACGAGTGATTATTTGAGTTACTGTTGCCTTTCTATCCAGTCTGGCCATTCTCCTCTGACCTCTGGCATCAACAAGGTATTTGCGTCCTCAGAACTGCCGCTCACTGGATATTTTCTCTTGTTCAGACCATTCTCTGTAAACCCTAGAGATGGTTGTGCGTGAAAATCCCAGTAGATCAGCAGTTTCTGAAATACTCAGACCAGCCCGTCTGGCACCAACAACCATGCCACGTTCAGAATCCCTTAAATCACCTTTCTTCCCCATTCTGATGCTCGATTTGAACTGCAGCAGATTGTCTTGACCATGTCTACATGCCTAAATGCATTGAGTTGCTGCCATGTTCTTGGCTGAGGAGAAGTTTGCGTAATCAAGCAGTTGGAAAGGTGTACCTAATAAAATGGCCGGTGACTGTATGTGCACTATAATGAGAATTAAGTTAAGTCAACTTAACAGAAACAAGTTACACCGGGTTTATTCATTTTTTAAGGAAAGTAACTATTCACTTTTTACAGCGCATCATTGATTCCTGTAATATAATATAATTCTCTTGCTTTAAATCAATTTGTATGGTGCAAAGCATTGTATAAATAACAGCAAATTGAGTTAACTCATCTATAGTCTTGGCAAATGTGATGTGATTAGTGTCAGTTCACACTTCACCCAGAATGAATAAATCTTTTCAGTTCAGTGATTTAATTTTCTGGATGCGGTTTTGAATGTCATTGATTCACTGGCCGTTTAGTGTCGTCCACCTAATCATAATGGCTCTGGACTATGTTAATGCAGCATGTCAATACTTTAATGTTTAATTTCTCCTGCCCTTTGCGTTTAATGAAAGTGTCTTCCAGCTGCTCCGCCGGTTAGTTTTCATCTAGCAGGTGCTTTTATCCGCAGTGCATTTATTATAGGTTCAGTCCCTGTGGAGACGAGCGTCCTCCGCAAGGTCACCCGACTGACAGGAGATCACAAACTTACTAAATTAAGAAACAAACTACTGGGGGTTGAAACCTACAACCCATTGTGGTATAGTTAAAAAGTTTGGGGTCAGAAAGATTTATTTAACGTTTATGCTTACTGAGGCTGCAACTATATGGCCAAAAATATGGTAAAGAGAGCATAAAAAAGGCATTGTTAGTGTATATACGTACAGTGCACATAATCTTTATCTGTTTCTCAGTGAATAAAGGCAATACATTTTGGTGCTTCAGTGGGTGGCCATGTGAGAGTTGCAGAGTTAGCTGCCGGCTAATGCACAAATATAATGATTTATATAATTCACAAATATAATTTGGTATATGCACAAATATAAACTTGTAAACTTTCTAAAGAAAATTGGAATTTAAAAGAGAGATTTGTGAGGGGTGTACTCATATATGCTGAGTACTGTATATGGAAGATACTAGACGTTAATACAAGATAAATATTCTATTATTGTTTATAAACGAAAACTTGAATGAAACAAATTATATCAAGTTATCTCTAAAAATAATGTTTGTGTGTGTATTTAAGGACATTTTGTCATTAAAAATCATATATATTCAGAGTCAATTATTGTGGTGTGCCATTATTCTCTCATTAATTTGTTCAAAATGTTCAGGATACAACAATAATATATTCAGTATTTGATAACTCACATAGATTTGTGTGTTTTGAATTGCATTTTGAATTTATGAATTGGATTTGTGTATTTAAGAATCCTGTTTTGAATTTAAAAATTATGGTAAAATTTATGAATTGGATTTTTACATTAATGAATTAAGTTTTGAATTTACGGATTCAATTTGTGTATTTATAAATTGTGTTTTGAATTAACAAATTGTATTTTTGTATTTCTGAATCGTGTTTTGAATTTACGAATTTGAAATGACATTTAAATTTGCGAATTTGACCGCCCTTCCCAGGCCACTAGAGAGGTATATAAGAAAATATTTTGCTTCCTTCCTGTGTTGAGTTTCTCCGCATCTCTTTTCCTCCCCTTTCTAGCATTGAGTTTCTCCACATCTCCTTCCCTTCCTTCCAGCGTTGAATGCTTCCACTCTTTCCTCCTCCCCCTCCTGCTTCCAGCTCCTCTCCCCCTCCTATATCTAACTCCCCACTTCTTCCAGCGTCGAGTTGCATCGCTACTTTTCTTTTTTAAGCGTCAAGTTGCTCTGCTACTTCCCCTTTTTTTCTAGCGTCGAGTTCCTCTGCTACTCTTGTCTTTTATCTGCTCAGGCCATTACTCCCCAAGTTCTGACTCCCCTGCAGTCTCCCCGAGCTCCACCTCCCCAGGAGTCCCGCACAGTCCACCTCTCCACCGCCCCTTTCTTTCCCAGACTCCCATAGGAGACCCACTCTACAGCTCTAACTCCCAAGGAGTTGCCCCTTGAGCTCCGACTCCCCCGGAGTCAATCACTGCACCCAACCCCCCCACCTCGGCCAATAAATACCTCTCTGTTTTTTCCTAGCGTTGAGTTTCTCTGCATTTCCTGTTCTCTTTCTCCTAGCATTGAGTTTCTCAGCATCTCCTTCCCTTCCTTCCAGCGTCGAATGCTTCCGCTCTTTCCTCCACCCCCTCCCTCTTCCAGCTCTCCTCCTCCACCTAGCTGTAACTCTCCACTTCTTCCAGCGTCGAGTTCCTCCGCTACTTTTCTTTTTTTCAGCATCGTGTTTCTCCGCTATGTCCTCTTTTTTTTCTAGCGTTGAGTTCCTGTACCACTGTTTCTTTCTTCCGCGTAGGCCATCATTCCCTAAGCTCTGACTCCCACAAAGTCTCCCCGAGTTCAGCTCCCACAGGAGTCATAACCCCCCCCCTCTACCTACGTCACCCCCTCTCCCGCAGGAGTCCTCACCACCCAAAATCTACCCTGACTCCCTTCAGGAGACTCCCCCGAGTCAGACTACCATGGAGTCAATCACAGCCTCTCCCAAGCCCATACTCAGACTCTCTCAAGAACAACT